TTCCCGCCGCCGCTGCTAACCTTCCGCCGCCGCTGCCCCGCCGCTGCTTGCCGCAGCCGCTGCTGACAACCTGCCGCCGCCGCTGCCCCGCCACCGCCGCCGCCGCTGCTTCCTGCCGCCGCTGCTAACCTGCCGCCCCCGCTGCCCCGCCGCCGCCGCTGCCCTGCCGCCGCCACTGCTTGCCGCTGCGTCGCCGCCGCCGCTGCTAACCTGCCGCCCCCACTGCCCTGCCGCCGCCGCTTGCCGCAGCCGCCAAACTGCCGCCGCCGCTGCTAACCTGCCGCCCCCGCTGCCCTGCCGCCGCCACTGCTTGCCGCTGCCCTGCCGCCGCCGCTGTCCTGCCGCCCCCGCTGCTTGCCGCTGCCCTGCCGCCGCCGCCGCCACTTGCCGCCGCCGCTGCCGCCGAAGACGCTGCTCCATCATCTCACCCGTGGCAGGTCGTTCCCACCTCCCGGCAGTGGCTCCTCCTTATTCGCTTCGCCCCAAGGCGCGGAACGCGCGCACACGAACCCGCACCGCGAGCTCAGCAGCGAGTCCCAGAGAGCAAGGGTTTCTGTTAAGACGTTTGTCTCTCTTGAGCCGAGGGGGCCAGTCAGCTGGCTAATTGGAGGCTTTAGGTTTGGCCGCAAACCGCACTTCCGCCTCTCCGTGCTCTCGGGAGGAAAGCCGGTTTAAAGAGGCAGCTTGGCCGCAACCAAACCATTGTAGGGCGGTTTCGGTTTCGAGTTGTCTTGCTCCCTGTTTGGCCGGCTTCGCTGTCAATCATCCGACTGCCATTTGCTGGGCTGGGCGGGAGTCCAGCGCCGAACCCTCGGCGGCTGGGAGGAGGCTCAGGAGGAGGCGGTGGCTGCGGAGTGTAGCCGCACTGAGTCCTTTCAACCCACTCGCCTTCCCTGATGACTCGAGAACCCGAGTGGCGGGGGGAAGGGTGGGCGGGAGTGAGGGGACAAGCAAAGCTTTGCTGGCTCAGAGCGAAGGAAACTTGCGCGTACTGTGGAGGAGAGTGTTGGCGTCTTGCATGCTTAGTTAAAGCAGCCTTTTTTGCTTGGAAAGGAGGGAGAAAGTAGTTTCATTGGAGACTTAAATCGGAGGGGAGGGACGTAGGATGGAGACATGTCCTCTCGAGCATCTGCTCATTTTAGGCAAATTATCAAATCTTCCTCCTTGTTGTCGGTTAAAGAAATGATTAAACCCTGCTTGCCGAGGTCTTAGCTATAAGGGAGCAATGGAGACACCTACAGGCTGAACTTTAAGAAAAAGTGCCATATTTAAGGAACCTCTGAAAGGGATGAAGGGGAACCTGTGAGAGTGTGTGCACGTGAGGGAGACAACATGGGCAGGGTCAGGACTCGGACTGTGAGAGAATGAAAGAGAGTGAGTCTGTGTTGAGTGAGAAGGGAAGGCGTTCTGACTGGGAGTTCCTAGCATTAGTGGATGTAAGAACTGAAACATCTGGTTGGGGTATCCCAGCTGAAGAAAGAAAAGCTGAATAAGTATGCCAAGCCCCTCCCAAAAATGATTGGAAAATCCCTAACACAGCCTCATTGTTTTATTTGAAGCTTTAAGAGTGTCTTCTAACATTTTCATTCTGGAAATACTAATTAGTGCTGGATAGGTAGTGTTTTATGCCTTTGC